TACATCCACGCGGACGATGTCGCGGGCGATAGCTACTTTATAATATAAGTAAGATTTCTCATTCTGTAGTAAAAAGACAACATGGCATTCACAATATAGGATTAAAAAAATATAACGATATGCAATTACATTCGTCATATATATATAAATAGATTAATACGTATGTAAGTAGGTAGTAGTAGGGAGGGTATTGTGGGCGGAGATGACCGCGTGATTATGTACTCTTAGACAGTGTGGCGTCTTGGTATGTTTGTGAAAAGAAAAAAGTATTATTCCTCATTAGTTGGAGATGAAAATTAATAATAAAGTTTCTTGTGACGGCTCTAGCATGTCGTAAGCAAGACTACTCAACACGTTCTTACTTCCCTAAGTATGACCAGACTGTAGTCAACATGCTACCAATGCCCTAAGTATGACCAGGCTTCGGTTAACTCGCTCTCCAGTTCCCTACGTAAGACTAGGTCACAGTCAACAGTCCTTCCAGTTCCCTAAGTATGACCAGGCTTCGGTTAACTCGCTCTCCAGTTCCCTACGTAAGACTAGGTCACAGTCAACAGTCCTTCCAGTTCCCTAAGTAAGACTAGGCTTCAGTCAACACGCTCCCCACTGCTCTAAGTAAGAGCAAGCCTCGGTTACCACGCTCTCCAGTTCCCTACGTAAGACCAGGCCTCAGTCAACACGCCCTCCAGTTCCCTAAGTAATACAAGGCCGCAGTCAAAGATCCCTGCGGACGGAATCTTCTTTCAGTCCTTTTTTGGACGTAAAGGATTCAAATCGCCTCTTTTTTGGTACTGTGCTAATAGTCTGATGTCTTCCCAGTATTCGTATGTCTATGATTTGTCAGAATGTATTTCTTTATACGATCACGACGCGTCACTCTCACGTCACCTCATGTCAACGAGATTGACGCATCTCAGCCATTTATAAATCTGGCAATGAACACTTTGTTTAAATTCGAGCTGATTTTGACCTATTGTTTTTAAGAGAAGTCGCTTTATGATAGACTAGCTGTCGCTAGTAACACCGTCCGCGCGGAATTAATAAAAAACTTAATAAGTAGTCTAAGTGTTCTACCAGACTATGTTCTACATCTATGACAAATCAGCGAGATCCATACAGCCGTTCTGGAGATATCTATAGACAAATATCCATCTAAATATTCGCATTTATAATGTTAGTAGTTGTCGCCCGCGACTCCGTCCGCGCGGAATTAGAAAGGAATAATAAGAAGTCTATGTGTTCTTTCAGACTATGTTCTACATCTATGACAAATCAGCGAGATCCATACAGTCGTTCTGGAGATATCTTCTAACATACATCTAAACATTCGCATTTATAATATTAGTAAGATGGTAATTACAATCTTAGTATATGTTCTTAATTGAGATTTTCTTGGAAAATCATATGACAATCATTACTATGCACGGACGTCAGTGTGCGTTAACTCGTGGTAGGTATAGTACGACAAAGTCATCTGACCCGGTGTGAGGCGCTGCTACCATTATTGCTGAATGGAAAAAAACTTACCTAGACGTAGATAAAAACATACAAGACAACTACAGTACAAGAATCTTGTGGCATTGACGTTTTTATATCATCAAAATTCGCCGAAATAGCGAAGCGAATAGCTTACCTTTTATCGGCGGAAGAGATGAGCGATGAAAGTATATTTCCCTCTTCTCTTTGCTTAACCTCCCCTTTCTTTATGTTGCTTATAAGAAAAGAGTGGAAAGAAAACTGGACTAAAATTAGCTTTGGATACACACTATTTTTTTTTTGTGATTGAGTAGTCACTGTTTGCCTTGAAGAGGCATTTACAGCTTTACCGGGCTTGAGGTGGCCGAGCGCAGATGGCGCTTAGACTGAACCTCGTTTTAGAGTAACAAGACTCGAGGACTCCCTCAGGAGCCGCGGCTCGGGCTGTTACTTTGTTATTATTACCGGATTGGGGGAGACACACTCATCAGACTGTAATTGTAACGAGTTGTGATTTGAGGCGTGTCTTCTGCAGCGGATGAGACACTCAGTTGTTGACTACCACTGTTCTGCTGCTGACATTGTTAAAGGACGCTTAAGAGATATTATAAATGTCATGCAAACCGGGTCAGATAAGTTTGTAGCAGTATGTGACATGCGCGTGCGCAGACAGCGCGGCGGCCGGGCATGTGTTCTCAGGGTTGTCATCCTTGACTCAGACACAGTTTTAGAATATGTGCTGGTCTGAAGTTTGGATTATATAACAATGATTCGATAATAAATATTTTAAATAGAAAAATATTCGATTCGGAAACTCGAAAACTACTGGGCGGATATAAAAAATGCTTCAACTTTAGTCGTGACTTCCTGAGGTGCAAGTTTTGAGTTTAAAACATATTGTTATCTCTGTTTCGTCAAAGATAATGACAAGGATGGGGATATGTTTTATACAGAGTTTTAGGTGTCAGAATACCACGGTAAAGTAGTAGTAGAATTTGTTCGCGCTGAATTATTTAAAAAACTTAATAAATAGCCCATACACATAGATGTTCTTTTTTTATATATCATAAGGTGGCAAACGAGCGAGCGGCCGCCTGTATTCGCTGAAATAGCGAAGTGACCGTCGCCCATAGACATACGCTATTGCATATGCGTTACCTATCTTTAATCGACGGAGGAGAGGATGCACAGAAAGAAAACATTTTCCCTTTCCATGCATCCTCTCATCCCGAAAGTCCATTTCCACTTCCCATCCTTTCCTTATAAGAAAAACCGCGGGAAGGGAAAGTTCTACTACTACCGTTGCGCTGTTCAAGACATACCTTCTAACAAACATCTAAACATTTTCATCTATATATATAAAAGAAAGTCGTGTTAGTTACACTATTTATAACTCAAGAACGGCTTTACCGATATGCCTGAAAATTGTTGAGGAGGTAGATTAGAGCCAGGAGATGGACATGGGATACTATTTATTATGCCTTGAAGAGCTGCTTTTTATTTAACTTACTAATATTATAAATGCGAATGTTTAGATGGATGTGATGTGGATGGATGGATGTTTGAAGATATCTCTAGAACGGCTGAACGGATCTTGATGAAATTTGGCATACATATAGAACATAGTCTGAAAGAACACATAGGCTACACTAATTAAGTTTTTTTATATATCCACGCGGGTTTATAATATTAGTTAAAAAAGGCAACGTTTGTCCACTTTACTATATGTTCTTAGAAACATATGTTCTCGGTATAACATAATATATAATGCGGTAGTTAATCATTGGTAGTAATTACAATTAATTGACTTTTGTTATGTTGGTAGTAATCCGTCAGGCCATCTGTTGTATGCGTCATAACATGCGATATATCCATTGAGTATATGCCACTGAATGATTTGGAATTAAGACAATATGTAACTAGACTATTATGAAATTTTGAATGATAAGTTTAGTGAGAAAAAACTTAATTAGTAGTCTATGTGTTCTTACAGGCTATGTTCTATATGTGCGTCAAATTTTAGCAAGATCCGTTGAGTTGTTCTGGAGATATCTTCTAATATACATCTAAACATTCGATTCGTAAGATTTTTTATTTTGTAATTTTATAAATACACCTCGACTCATTCCGCGTGGATTTATAAAAAAACTTAATTAGTGTAGCCCACCCATCCATCCATCTAAACATTCGCATTTATAATATTTGTAAGTTAAATAAAAAGTAGCCCTTCAAGGCATAAATACGAAAAAAATGAATAAATAGTATCCTATGTCCGTCTCCTGGCTCTAAGCTACCTCCTCATCAATTTTCAGTCATATCGGTAAAGCTGTTCTTGAGTTATAAATAGTGTAACTAACACCACTTTCTTTTATATTTTTTTTATGCATTTAAAAAAAAATCTTTTACGTCAACAAAGATATTGCAAATCAAATCCGGGAGTAAAACTTATTCTTTTTTTTCATGGAGAAAATGCCTTTTTTGCCTAAAAAATGCCTAAAAATAAAGTACCCCGGAAGCTAAAATATGAAAGTCGAATAGATTTTTTATCTTTTTAATACGTCATTAAAGCAGACCAGAGCCAGCTAGACTGGGACGTGATCGTAAATATTGTGTCATATGATGTCATCAATCTCCCGACCTAGATGCAAAGTCTAGATTTTATAGTGCATTAAAACTACTGATATAAAGAAGATAATCTAGAATTATTTGATTGTACAGTCGTATTCGTCGTTCGCGGTGTTACAATTATATTATCGTATTACATCTTGCAATTTAAATTGGGTTTTTTAAGTTATCAAAATTTTCGTGAGACGTTATCAAAAACTTATATGAACAGACACTTACTCGGTGTCGGTACCAACTAGTTTTGATACCCTTAGGGTGAATTAGATTGGTATCATTTCGCGGACACGGTCTGTCACACATTCATTTTTTTTATATTATAAGGTGGCAAACGAGCGAGCGGCCACCTGAAATCGCTGATATAGCGAAGTGACCGTTGCCCATAGACATACGCAATTGCATATGCGTTGCCTACCTTTAATCGACGGAGGAGAGGATGCACAGAAAGAAAATATCTTCCCATACCATGCATCCTCTCATCCGGAAAGTCCATTTCCACTTCCCTTCCTTTCCTTATAAGAAAAAAGGTGGGAAGGGGAAGTGGACTGAATTAGGCCTCCGGGACGCATACTCGTCAGACGAAACGTGGAATTGCTTTCACTTGACGCCTGTCTTCTGTGTGGTCGTGGTATTTCACCGGGCCAACCGGGCCAATTCGTGCGAAGATGTTAAAGCGAACTCTACCACTGTTAAATCATCCTGATGAAGATCCCCCACTGGGTTTGAAAGTAGTCAGTTTAACGTGACTGCATATTTTAATGACATGTTTTCGATTCTTACATTGCCTTGTATGCAAAGAGCTTAAATAAGTGACATTTTAAATGAATTTAAGACATAAATTTGTTGTGGTGACACCCATGGTGTGGTGAACAGATGTTAATAGATTTCTGTTTTTTTTTCAGTTCCGTCGACGTCGAAGGCTCAACTGGCAGCGGAGTATCTTGAAGCTTGTCGTGGTCATGCCACGCCGCCCATAGACTCCGTGTTGCAGCAGATACGAGTGAGTATTTGTCTATGGTCTACAATATCTGCACCAATAAAATACCAGACTACTACTGCTTGTCTTCTTTATTAAATAAATTTGATGTTAAGTGACGATTAAAAGGAACACTCTCGTGACAATAAGACGGTAAAAGTTTTTTTTGAAGCAAAAGGTAGCAAACGGCCTTTTAAATTCGCTCTAACAGTGAAGCGCCCGCTGCCTATATACATCCATATTTTTTCTTTGTGCGTCTCCTGTACCAAATCTACCTCCCCCTACCATCCCTTCCTTATAAGATAAAGATGGAATATTTCTAGCAATTCCATCATTGTTTTTTTATATCAATGATGGGAAACGAGCAAACGGAAAGTATTCGATGAAATGGCAATGCGACCGCTGTCAATAAACAGCCATAATTGCAGATGCGTTTCCTACGTTTAATCGACGGAAAAGGAAATATCCCCTATCTTAACGTTCCCTTCTCCGTCAGATCCATTACCCTTTCCCATCCTTTCCATATAAGAAAAGGGTGCGAAAGGAAAATCGGCTAAAATGAGCCCTCAGGTAGACACATCAGACTGTTGTTTAAATGAGTTGTGACTTGAAGCGTTACTTCTGTGTGATCGTGATGTACCGGGCGAGCGATACATTTGGCAAGAGTTGTAGTTGCTGGCATCTGCTACTGTTTGTCTTCTTCTAGAAGATGTCATAATCTTTCAGGAGTTACCAGAGAATGCGATAGGAGGTGGGGCGCGTGCACCGCGGTTAACACTGTTGGAATGCGTGTTGCGAGGCTGTGCCCCAGTCGATGCGTTGGAAGCTTTGCTAAGGAAGGTTCAGTTCAGAAGATTAGAGTTGGATCATGTGGAAATTGATGATGAAGGAGCGGTAAGTGATGGAGTTGGTACATCTAGTTTTAAGGAATCAGTCGAGTTGTAAGCAGGGACTGTATGTACATTTATCCTATGTTGTTACGGTGAAGGAAAACATCGTGATGCTGCACATATCTGACAAACTCAAACATATGTGTCAAGTCTTGCACTGGGTCAGCATTCACTATCACATACTCTCACTTAGGGTAGACGCAGAGACCCTCAGTGAGGACCTAAAGTGACCAAACGCAAGCTGATAAATTTTGTCTTTCGTTTCCAGGAGGCACTATTTGATATGATAGAATACTACGAAAGTGCGACAGTGGTATGTGTGATGGGACCCCGTGAGTACGGTATCAGAGGATGGCAGGCAACTTCTAGAATGATAAAGAAGGTAAGCCTTTACTATTCTTGTATATAGGTATGTCGTCCACGACTACGCCCGCACAGAAACAAAAACGTAATTAGTGGCGTATGTGTTCTTCCAGATGTGTGTACCAAATTTCATCAAAATCCGTTGAGTTGTTCTGGAGATACCTTCTAACAAACATCTAAACATTCGCATTTATAATATTAGTAAGATTCCTGGTGTTGTGGAATAACCAGCTGACGAGGATCAGCGCTGTGCAACTTAGTAGTCTATGTGTTCTTCCAGGCTATGTTCTATATTTATGTCAAATTTCATCAAGATCCATTGAGTTGTTCTGGAGATATCTTCTAACAAAGATATATTATATTTATTACTAGCTGTCGCCCGCCACTCCGTCTGCGTGGAATGAAAAAAAAAACTTGAATTTGTCTCACCTTTTAAACCTTCCCTAGACCTCCATGAACAAGACCAAGATAAGATAAATCCGTTCAGCCGTTATTATATTTATATTGTTCCTAGAGCGCGGAGTTAACAGAACTGGAGGTGACAGACGGTGGTTTAGAAGCATCACACGCGACAGTTCTAGCGCGATCACTCAGACCTGCGACATGTCCGTTGAGGTCTTTGTGCTTGCAACGGACACAGTTGTCCGGTGAACCTTTGTTGTGTTTAGGTAAGTGTAGTAGTAAGTAGAAATAACATTTCCAGTTAGCTGTCGCCCGCGACGTCCGCGCGGAATTAAAGAAAACATATGTGTTCTTTCAGACTATGTTCTATTTGTATGCCGAATTTAAGCAAGATCCATGCAGCCGTTCTGGAGATATCTTCTAACATACATCTAAACATTCGCATTAAAACACGACTAGCTGTCGCCCGCGACTCAGTTTGCGTAAAATTAAAAAAAAACTTAATTATTAGTCTATGTGTTCTTCCAGACTATGTTCTATATGTATGACAAATTACAGAAAAATCCATGCAACCGTTCTGAAAATACCTACATCCATCAAGACATACAGACAGACAAAATTTTATATATTGTGATTTTCTTATCATTCTTTTCTCGATATAATATACATATACAGCAATTTTATTAATATTACTTGAGGAATTTAAAAAAAAACTTAATCTTCCTTCAAACAAACATATAAACATTCGCATTTATATTAGTAAGTTATTTCAGTGATGGCTTTAAAGTCAAACAACTCAGTACGTGAACTCAGACTCGGTGATAATCGTCTGAGCGCTCAGGACGCGGCTCAGCTCGCATCACTGCTTAGACTGAACACGCGGCTGCAGCTGTTAGATCTATCCAATAATCTGATACAGGTAAAACTAACGTAAAACCAGGTTTCAGACAATAAACACAAATATTTCTTATTAAATAGTTGTCGTCTGCAACGTTGTAGGTAAACGTGATATGTTTTTCAGACTATGTTCTATATGTACGACAAATTTCATTAACATCCATGCAGCAGTTCCGGAGATATCTTCTAACATACATCTAAACATTCGCATTTATAATATTAGTAAGATCAAGTCAAGTACTTAACTTGTAATCTGCAGGTACTGGGTTCGAAACCCGCCATGTACCAATGTGTTTTTGCATTTCCGATTTACTTTCTTATGGTGAAGGAAAACATCGTGATGCTGCACATATCTGACAAACTCAAACATATGTGTCAAGTCTTGCACTGGACCAGCATTCACTATCACATACTCTCACTTAGGGGAGGTGCAGAGACCCGAGACTGGGGTTATAGTGAGCTGATGATGATTAAATGGATTTAAGTATCAGAAACCCACTATAAATATAATTACAGGATGCCGGTGTTGCTCAAATAGCAGACGCGTTAGTAAAACAGTCTTCTTACACGCCTCCTTCTGCAGCAACTTCACCTCTCTCACCACATCATTGTCCAAGTTAGTATTGTCTTTGCGAGATAAAATAAAAAAT